AGCTCCTCTGGCTTCTGTGAGCATTGCACTCAAAATTAAAATAAAATACATCTTAAAAAAAAAATGGAAGTGCTACAGCAAGATCAAAGTAGGGCCACCACAGGGGTGGAACAGACGGTGTATTCTGGAGGGAAGAAGAAAGAACGGCCAAGGAAGATGAAATAAACCAGGAAAAGAAACCAGGGCAAAGGAGAGTTAGGAGTCCATCTTCAAGAAGAGGGTGAGAACAAACACGTGGTTGCTGGATTCTTCTGTGTATCCAGTGCAGTTTCTGACAAGACGATCTCAAGATGTAGCTACCACCTCGGAAACAGATCATCGAGGCAGAAAGTAACGCCCTCACTGTACCATATCCACAGTGTTAGCTTTGATGAGAGAGGGAAGGACACAAGTTCAGGAGCATCTCAGGATTCTGCCTGGATTTAAAAAAAAATAGGGCACATACCCCTAAAAAAAGAAATTCCACTGGGGAGTCTGATAGATTAGACCGTGTTTATAAAGGGTATAATTGAGAAATATATAAATAGACGTTTCAGAACGGAGGGAAGGTTGGGGGGGCGGGGAGAAAACACAGCAGACATTTTACAGGAACAATATAAGATTATTAAAACTTTGTCATGTAAAATATCCAGTGTCATGAGCCCAAACCAATGTGAGGCGAAAAGTGGTCTAACAGTGCCTTGAAATGGACAGTAGCTCAAAAAGTGGAGCAGTCACCATGCATTCAAAATCACCCCAGAGTGCGGTGCCCCAGGAGTTGGGCCAAAGCTCACCAGGGCCACCCCCTGAACTTCTATGACAAGGGGCCACTCCCCCTTCTGCCTGACATTCTGGGTGGTCTTCAGAATGGCCCTCTCTTCCTCGCTCATGGTCAGGAGCTGTGACCCACAGGACAGCAGTTTCATCGATATGCAGAGAGCTGGGCAGCATCTCAGCACCACTAGGGGTCAGGGATGAGGGGAAGAGGGAGCGGATGGCCAGGAGGCCAGACTGGAAGAAGACAGAGAGCAAACTGCTCCAGGCCCGCTGATATTTCCTGAAGCACCACAGATGATTTTTGTTTTTGAGATAGGATCTTGATAGGTAGCCCAGGATAGCCTTGAAATCATCATCATCATCATCATCATCATCATCATCATCATCATCATCATCATCCTTAGTGTCCCACAGGCTGGCTTTGAACAGGTATGCACCACTATGACTGACTATGTAAGTTGAAGTCTTCCTAGTGAGGTCTGTGGGCAGCAAAATGGTGACACCTGGTGGTGGCCGAACTATCAACATGGGTCTGTGACGAGAGTCCCCAGAGTGGCCTGTGTGTGTACATTTGCACTAACCCATCCTGTCACACTGAAGAGTCTGTATCTCTTCTGGGCCTGCAATTTAACCAGACTTGGCTCCTAAGCACACAGCCTGAGAGGCAACTCGCTATCAAAGAGACTCTCTGGGTCCTCAAATTTCAAAGGCCTTCTGAGTGAAAGACTTTAAATTGCTCTTTAGCATATGTACAGGACACTCACGTTTATGCCAATTGTACTCTGAAATAATAGTATTTTGGGTATACTGAGCTAAATAAAATACTTTATTAAAATTAATTTCACCTAATTTTAAAAATGTGGCTCCAGCAAACCTGAGGTGACATGCATCGCTCATGTTGGACAGAGATTGGAGAATAGGGCCTATGGCCCCTGTACTAGGGAGAAACTCCCTCAGGATAAGCGTCTTTGCTCTGCCCTCAACCTCAACGACCTAGAGGTGCTCATAGGAGCTCATAGCAGCTCATGGCTGCTTCCCCTGCGAGGCACCTGGGTAAGACACCTGGGTAACTGTGTGGTCCTGTTCTAGACACCTGGGTAACTGTGCAATCCTGCCCTAGACACCTGGGTAACTGTGCAGTCCTGTCCTAGACACCTGGGTAACTGTGCAATCCTGCCCTAGACACCTGGGTAACTGTGCAATCCTGTCCTAGACACCTGGGTAACTGTGAAATCCTGCCCTAGACACCTGGGTAACTGTGCAATCCTGTCCTAGACAC